TGCTCACATTTGACTGTTATGTTGCTATTACTTATCATCATATTCTATATCAATATCATCAATATTCTGAATCAGAATGTGTTTATCAATATGTTTGCTCGTACTTAATTTATTTTTTCAAAATAAAAGCAAAACAACTTTCAATTTTCTTCATATCCCTTTATTCAATTGGAAGTTTTTTTTGCCTTAATTTTGAAAAAATATATTAACGTAGGCTTCCTAAAAAAAAAAAAAAGAAGATACTTAATTTTTTTGAATTATAAGTTTAGATTATTACGTTGTGTTCGCTAAAATTGTTCTTATTGGTTTTTATTTTTTATATTGCCAGACAATTTTCATCTTTTTGTACGTTATAATAATTCTAAGGAGACTAAATATCGCGGACTAAAAATTTGTATTTTCTTCTTTTTCTATAATACTTTTTTCCTAGATTTTTTTTTTATTCAGTGATTTCTCACAATTTTCGGATCTTATATATTATTTTTGTCAAGAAAGAAATTTGAGTTTTGTCAATGGACATAGTCATCTCAAATGATGAAATTTTCTCTAGAAAGAAACTGCCAGTATCCAAGATAAGCTATAAATCTAAGGTACTCAGGCCACTAAACAAATTTTCAATCTTGTAGAAAAAATCTAAGTAATTGAGTAGTCAATCAACAATTTCAGTTTTCATATAATTCTAAATTTACCTTTTTCTTCTTTTTATTTTCTTCTTTTTTTTTCTGGAATTTGATTATGTAGATGATGAAAACCAAAAATGATCAAATGATAAAATAATGTTTCTGCTAATCAGATACCATTGTTAATTTTGGTAATTCCTGAAGTTTAAAGAAAGCTTTGTCCATTTCCGTTACTAAAATATTTTCTGGATCCTTTATAATATTATAAAATTGATCAAAAATCTCTAGTGAGAGCTCTACTTCAATAATAAACAAACGTCATTTGCCAGCCTGGACTTCAGACTTTTTTGAATAGCAGGAAAGGTTGGTGAACTACAATATCAATTAGGTGAAGGAATTAGTCATATCATTGCTGTTATCCAATGTACTGTTGATAAAATAAATGAAAATCTTATTTTTATAGTAGAAAATTTATGTGTTTTAGTCGATAGATTTTGTATTCATTCTCATTACACAGAAGTAAAAAAATGTATTAAACTTTTAAGTAGAGATTTACAATAACAGTGAGCCAAACATTTTAAAATTAAAAGGAAATTTGAACAAGAATTTTTTACCTTTAATTAATTAGATGTCGGCAGGATATAACCATATTAAACAGGGTTTTCTAATATTCAGGGAGAAAAATCAATTATAACTTCCTGAATATTGTTATTAATGGTATGAGTCAACAGACAATTTCGTCCAAATATAAAATTAAATTAATTTTTTCAATAGTTATGTTCTTATAAAATTAGGTTATAATGACAGGAGTTACTGATTTCTTTTTTTATTCATGTTTTTAGACCAATTGATTAAAAATTATTGATGTCTCCACAATATAATATAAACAGCTCCAAAATATTATAAATAAGTTTAACAATATGCCATTTTCTTAGGGTAAATGTAGTACAACTTTATTTGAAATATAATTTATTTTGTCCTAACATTTCCATCTCTAGAAATTGTTTTTTCTTCGATACATTATTGAAACAATACTATCTATTTATTAGGGAACATTCATTATATTCTTGGATTAACTCAACAATGTATTATTTGCCAGTTGTTTAAATATTAAACCAGAATTTTCAGATAGAAAATACACATTTATTGCATAAAAATATTGTCCAACACTATTTATACATTTTACCTATCTCTGGAAATTTATGAATTCCATCAAGCCATTTTTTTAAGAAGTGAAGGGCTGCTGAGCAAGTGTGATGGTTAATTATAATGAAGAAAAACTACTTTGTGTTTTTGGTATTCCGATAATTTTTCATGCAATACTTGATTGAAATTAATCATTTATTGTCAATATTATATAAGTATTAACGGTTTTGCTAGGTTTTAGCAGATCATAATAGATCACTCTCTTCTGATCCTACCAAACACAGAGCATTGTTTTCTTTCCTAAGCAACTTGGCCTTGCCTTCAATTATGATGAATCACCTGGAGTTACCCATGATCTTTGATACTTAGAATCCTCAATATGTCAAATTTTCATCACCTGCCACAATTTGATGATGAAATGCCTAGTTGTTTTATCTGGCGAGCAGCTTTTCAGAGGAGGGTGTCTTTGCTATTTTTCATTCAGTTAATTTGGAACCCATTTTCTCATCTTCTGGATCAATCCCAAGCCGTTCAAATGTATGGAGATAGCTACTGATGTTACATTTAATTTGACTGATGTTATGTATTATTGACCAGTTATTGTGTTTAATCATTTTGATCCAGCAATGCTAGCTAATTCAATGTATTCATACTTTTTTGGTGGTCTTATGTTGTGGTGAAATATCAGCACTATATATCCTAATAATAATATAGGAGAGCACAAACAAGAATTTATAAGACAAGTGTCTTATCCAACTGGTCCTTACATATGGCTCAGAATGGATAGTGAAAACATCCAAGGAACAGGTCCTTCTCGCATTCAGGAGAGAGAGGATACAGGGTGGTATTTATTTATAGTTGTATATGAAGATCTTGATGTGTACACCTAAATTAAGTTTTCAAGGCTTTGTTGGGTGGGCCATGTGGCAAGGATGGAACCAAATGAAATTCCACATAAAATCTTTTCAGAGTGTATATATGGCACATAAAGAGTTGGATGTCCCAAGCTTCACAGGGTAATTACCTATGGTCCCTGCTTGGTGTCCGGCACTTGTAGGTAGAGACAAGAAACAGAGTGTTATGGCAATCTATAATAGGACAGGCTTTGACTCAATAAGTGTGTCTTAACAACGTCATCTAATAATAATTGGTGGTCTACCACATTCTTCATTTCTCACATCAAATTCACTTTTAAACCACCAAAACATTGTAATATATCAAGAGGATGCTCATCCAAAGCTTCAACAAGCATTCAATGTGATTCTGCAGCAATTTTTTTTTTTTTAAAGTAATGCTGTCCACAAATTGTAGTTTGTAGTGACAAAAATTCTATAAAAAACAGCTGTTATATGAAACCAGAGATGGAAAAATGCTGCTTTGAGTACTGAGTACCAAGTATTTTACTCAAATTGAATCATTATTGGGAAATCAATCACTATTTCATTTAATCATTTGACATCAACAGAATTAGTAATTAAATTCTTTGGTAGTAAAATATTTGAGTACTACAGTAGCATTTGCTCATCTCTATATGAAGCTTGTATTGATATGAGTTGAAAATTTTTGCCAGCTGTCAAAAAAAAAAAAAATATGGTGCCACTAACGAGATTTACTGGAACTAAACCAATTAGAATTATCTATAAACCAAATCCGGTAATATATTCTTATATAACATACGATGTATAAGCAGTACCTATGATTCTAATACATTAATATTACAAAAATGTATTTTTCAACTCAAGCAGAGATTTATGTAGCTTTAAGGTAAGTAATAAAGCTTAGTTCTTCATTCTTATGTTAAAATTGATTTTATTATTGACAGTAATAAAGAGTTTTTATTTGAAATTGAAAATTGAATATATCAGGTTGACCTGTATGGCCTGACTTGAAGTGAAAATCAGATCCTGTGAACTCCTAGATTTTCTGAATCCATCCTGTTCCTCTCTGAGTGGCACTCGGCCACTCTTTTTATCTTTATTTCTAGGATTCTCGAGTATAGCTTGCTTGGAACACTGAGCAAAGGTTATTGCATTCTCTATTGTCTTCTCTCTTGAATATAAAGGATACAATAGAAACACGAGTGGAAGGAAGAAGACCACGGATCACCTGGGAGAAAGGTGTGCGGAAGGCATTTAGAAAGTGAGGGCAGACTGGAACAGGAGAGAGGAACTTGGTCCCAGCTCTATAACGCACATCCCCACACTGCACAGCTGTAGAGAGGGATAGGAATATGATGATTATGATGTTCATGATGTGATAATTAAACTGTACAACAATGGAGGTTCTTCCAGAAATTCAGCTCTATATGATTTTTAAAGTTTCATTTGAGAATAAAACAATCAGATACTACACAATCTCAGATAGTTCTGTGTATAGTGTTCTTTAATAATAGAGCGAGAAAATTATGCATAATATTGACTACTATTAAATTTATATTACATTGGAGAGGAAATTACGATTTATTGGTAATTGATGTTAAGAAAAAACAAAACACATTATACAGAAAAAGATATAATTGAAACAATTTTGAACTAAACACTTCATGAAACAGTAAATGATATAAGTAAAAACAAACAACACAACCTTTTGATCTCAATTATAATAGTTCTTCTAGTAAAATTTTGATCTTAAGCAATTTCAACATTAATTGATTTCAAATTTTGAAAAAAATAATGGTAAAATTTATAACATAAAATAAATCATTAAACATATGATTTAAGTTGATTCTATTTACATGTTTTCATAACTAATTTTCAAAAACAAGTTATAAAAAAAAAAAAAAAAAACCCTCTACCATTATAACCCATGAAGGGCTTGGATTCAGTACTTAGTAACAACTGTATCTTCACCAACGGTTGAGTGGTCCTCCACACCAATTAAGGATATCCATTAAGGATATAAACAGCTTTATAGAGACTGGGTAATTTCCAGGAGGATATCCTGACCCCAACAACAGAATAAATAAATTAGCAACCACAGTTAGATTCGAAATCTGACATTTGTAACTAGGGCTTTGGCATTTACTTTGCTTCCCCCATTCATAACGAAAAAATAAGTTCATTCAATCAATTATATTGATTCAATATAACATTCCTAAAAACTTAAATGTATTAATTTTAAACATGGGTTAAAATAAATTAAAACAGTCCAATATCAAAAATATATACTACATAGGAGGTAGAGATAAGATTACAGAAAATATTCATAAATTTCAAAACATAAAATCTCTTAAAATTATTTGAGTTTGATACTCTTTGAAATATCTTTCTTAATTCCAGCAATTTCTCCATCATATTTATGTAATTCCTTCCTTGGATCTCGAAACTGAAATAATAAAAAAACCCATTAATTTTAAAATTAAAATGAATCGGAAATATATAAATGTAATATGCTACATAGGTATAGATTTAATTTTAAAGATAAACCACCTCATTTTTTAGTTCAATATAATAGTTATGAAAACAAAATTAAATCTCTTCGACAAATTGAACCAACTAGCTATCATAATGTACCCAATATATCAATACCTAGTCCTGTCATAAATATTGTTACGATTAAATACATATAAATTTCAACAGAAAAAATAATTTTTTTCAAAACCTTTATTATAAAATAAAATGTATATCTATAGAGAGTGAAACAAAACAGAAATTATTCAAAATGTCCCCCGTTTGCCCAGCAGCATACAGCACTTCTTGAGGAAAGCACTCAATTGCTCGGACCAGAGATTGTTTGAGGTTTTCTAAGTTACGATGTGCTCTGTGGCATGCCATCCTCTCCAGTTCAGACCAAAGCCGATAATCTAATGGGTTGAGATCAGGGCTTCGTGAGTGCCAATCCGAGGCAGAGATGAACTCTGGAATGTTCTTTTGCAGCCACTGCTGAGTTGACCTGGCCTTGTGAGCTGGAGCGGAATCCTGCTGGAAAACCCAATGACTTGCAGCAGACAAGAGTATCATTTAGAGGATTGACAACAGGTTCCAAAATATCGTCCTGATAGTTTTTTAGCGGCTGTTTTAACTCATTTTTCACAAAAATGGAGCTTTGTGGGGCCATCAAAGCAAACTTCCAACCAAACCATCACTGAGAAAGAGTGATGACCTCTTTCCATTCTTCGCATACACACGATCATCTTGGCAAGACTGAGAAAGAGTGATGACCTCTTTCCACTCTTCGCATACACACGATCATCTTGGCAATTAAATTTTTTTTTTCAATTGTAAAAATTTTCTCATCGCTAAACAAAATCTTTCGATGAAGACCATTGCTGTAACGGCAAAAGAGCACATTGCATCTAACTACTATCATTTTTTTAAAGAAGTGGTTAGCCTTTATCCTGTCATTCTTCAAAATGCACCCTTCCTAAGATCACTTTTTATTATACGAGACATTGATCTCACAGAGATTCCCATTTCCTGAGACATGATTTGTTGTTTTTGAATAGGATTTCTTGTGACTGAGCAGCCACTCTGTAATTGCCGTTTTCACAGTGTGGGGACTTCCTGGTTGAGGTCTGCCTCGTACAGATAGGGTCTCATTATATCTATTTATAGTGTGGTACACAAACATACAGCTAATACCCAAAGGTTTCAAAGTGTTGAAAATCTCTGACCTACATTTTCCAACTTTGTGTAAGGCGGTCACAGCTATTCAGTTTTCTTTACCACCCCACTCCATGTTAACTGAGTGAAAGAAGAATACAAACTAATTGGGATTATTATCCTGACATGTAAAGAAAATAACCTGATAGAGATAAGGATTATCTAAATAATACCCAAGGATGTAAACTAAGTTCAAGTTTTGTAACGGTATTTATGGCAAAACTAGTAATATTCACATGTGGAGCTATGAACACATTAATACAATTGAAGGAAATCAGAATCACCCTTCCATGAAATTGTTGCTGAATCGACTATAAATAAACTGAAAAATAGAAATTCGGCTCCCACTTGAGTGACTGGATTTATCACCAGCTAATATTAATAGAAATATACATTGATTAAAACAAATTGTATACAATAATGATTAATAAACCATCGAATACATCTACCCAACTTCTTTAAAAACTCTTTTGTTTTATATAATAAATAAAACACATTTTTTATATGAATATGCATATAATTTCACACCAATGTCTTTAAATATCTTATCCATTATGAAAAAAGATATGTGTTCTGTTTTTATTTATTTTTTTCAAATATTAATGGAACATATTCAGCAGTAAGTAAGAAGAGATGAAAGTAACATATAAAAAATTTCCATTACCTGTCCCTTCCTCCTTCTGATGGCTTTTTTGAATTTATTCCGGTTTTTCACTCGTGGATTCCTGTTCTCCTTCTTCCTCTTCGGTGTCAGACCTTTGTTCTTCAATATTTTAAATGCTACCCCTCGTTTATCTTCTTCGACTTTATCTTTTTGATCTTCTTCTTTATCTGAAAATATTAATTATTTAATATAAAAATTCACAGAAATTGAATAACGATTTCCAGTTATACTAAAAGTATAAGGTGATTTTTGTTCACTTATCATACTGCTGCATATCATAAGCAAAATCCTTTTTATCTAGTACATTAGGTGAGTCAACAAGAGCTGACAATACCACAAAACATTGACGGATCTAGATCAATTAAATAAACTAAAACTAGTTTATTCTCTCTATGGGGGCTAAGTTCATTTAATAAATTACTATAGTAAAATATCAGCAATCATATTTATACAAAAAATATAATATTAGTTAATTTTGAAGGGCAAATGGCTTTTATGACCAATAGTAGACCTTAACAGAAGAGATAATGTATACAGTTGAATGTTTTTTTTTATGTGTGTATACACTTGACTTAATTCTTTTAAAAACAATTCTATATATATATATATATATATAAATGAATGTATGTCTGTCTGTTTGTCCTTAGTGCATTACTGAACCATTCAACCGATCGTCATGAAACTATGGAAAGTTGTTCCGTACACTCCTGGCATAGTACTTCTGTCTTACGATAATTTCATATATGTAAAAAAATAAAAATGTAAATGTTTTTCTGTCCAAAGCCGCAAAAAAAGTGTCGCTATAAACTGTAGCGCCAAAACGGCTTTACCGATTCTAACGAAACTTGGCTAAAGTCTTCCCTTTGAAACCCTTTTGATTTATGTTTATAACATACTTTCCCAAAAACAAGCTGAAAAATGTTACGATGAATTCAACATTTTATTTGACGATAACTAAAAAAATACACAATTTTTGACTGATAATACCCACATTTATTTGAAAGATTCCTGATTTGCCAACAATATAAAAAATATGTCATTGAAATTGGATGGTTCGTTGCACAGTTATAGAGTTTTAAACATTTACTGCTTTTTCTTCAGAAAAGGTCGTTTCCTTTTGCTTCCTCACTACCGAAGGTCGGCAAGCTTTTTTTTTTATTTTATTGATTAATCAAAAATTTTATAATTACTACAGTAATTGAAATTATCATTTGAAGAAGATATATGATTCTCCTTATGTAGGTCAATGACTATTATACGTTTTTTTTATTAATTTTTTAACTTACTTTTATAAGTTCAACTCAGACTGTTTCTGATGATTATGAATGACGGCGTATTCGCTCAGATGATTATGAATGTTCAATTTGAATCATGAGAAAAAAAATCATTAGAATTAGTTTAAATTGAAGCCATTTTACAGACAAATTTGTTTCCCAACTTTTTAAAAATGACAGATGTCCTTTGCTACTAATCTACTCATATGTGCTTTCTATTTTCTTTCTTTTTCATTTTGCCAGGCTAAGCCACAGAAGCGCGTGGCTGGGAAAAGCTAGTTCTAAATTTTAGTCTAATAAGGCTTAAATGCCTAATTAAATTTCTTCCTCTAAACTACCTTCAATTGTTTTAATTTCAAATAATTAGCCATTTCAAAAAGTAATCTGCTATAGAAAATTAACTGAAGGAGAAGAAAGGTATCGTGACGGAGAATAGTAGTAATAGAGGGAAGGAAGAAATGCAAGCTCGGCCGAAAGGTTAGAATAGGCTTTCAATAAGGTTAATATAGTATGGGCTCTGATAATATAAATAACATATACGCTTTTCATAAATGCTAGTATTGGTATTATTTAATATTTAATTATATCGGTCCCAGCAATATAAAAATTAAAATCTGTATATAAACCAAAGTTCAAACAAATAATAATACCAACAATGAAATATGAATAAATATAGAGGCCTAGTCTATCAGTGCTACTCTTGTTAGGCTAAAAATATTTTGTGGCACTTAATTATTTATTATAATCAAATAAATAATTAAAATATACAGTCGTAAAAGTAAATGTTCAGTGACAAAAAACCATAAATATAATACATTTAACAGTTATGAAAAAAATACGGTATTAACTGTGTTAAATAATATTTTGCACCATCTATAATTTTTAATTTTACTTATCTTGGTCCGAAAATACTATTTCTGCTAAAAAGAAGTGAATAGGTGCATCATACATACCATCATCATCTTCATCTTCCTCTTCATATTGGACCTTAATTTCTTCCTTTTTCAACTTCCTTTCAAGATCCATGATGTAGCCACTTTTTTGCAACTTATCCAACCTTCTTTTCTTGGCCTTATTAATTTTTTTTGCTTCTTCTTTCTTCTTTAAAAGTTCTAATTTACGTTTCCTTTTTTCTTTTCTAAAAATTAAAATTTGGATTAATTTTTAAAAAAAAGGAAGTTTTTAATACTTTACTAAATTAATACAGTAAAACCCTTAAAACAAAGCAAAAGGTTGATTGTGTATTAAAAACTCAAAATCAACAAAATGGCAATGTATATTTTGCACATGCCTTGGCCTCCCGTTTTGGTGTGAATATGAAGAATTTTTTTAGTCATATTTTAATAAAAAAAATTGTTAATTTCTTTTTTCCCCTGAGCTTAATTCAGTTTACATCATACAAAAAAGTTTTAATCTTGATAAAATATATATTATATTAAAATATAATACCATAATGATTTTAATAATTTAAAAACATAATGATTGTTAAAAAAAACTAGTAAATCTAGTCAGGATGTGCTTGACGGAGACACTCAATAAAGTTAGAATCGGTAATAATTTATCCGAAAAATTTGAGGTTCGTTCGGGCTTAAAACAGGGGGATTCTCTTTCGCCTGTCCTGTTCAATTTGGCATTAGAACATGCCATTAGGGAGGTAATGCGAACCGAGAAAGGGTTGGATCTGGGCGGGACAACATCCGTGCTGGGCTATGCTGATGATCTGGTACTGTTAAGCGAAGACGTTGAAACTATAAAACTAAATACGACAACGTTAATGAAAGCCGGTAAAGAACTAGGACTCGAAATAAACGTGGATAAAACAAAATATATGGTTAGCTGCAAAAATGGCGATACTACTGGTGATATCGATATAGATGGTAATATGTTTGAACAGGTAGATAAATTTAGGTATCTAGGTTCTACGATAACTAGAAAAAACGAAATTGAAGAAGAGATTAAGGTTAGACTGAAGGCGGGGAATGCTTGTTATTTTTCTGTGACAAAACTACTTAGTTCGCGCCTCTTGTCCCGAAACTTAAAAATTAGAATCTATAAAACAATTATCTTGCCTACAGTTCTTTATGGATGCGAAACTTGGCCGCTTACATTAAGGGATGAGCAGCGTCTTAAGGTTTTTGAAAATAAAGTATTGCGTAGAATATTCGGACCGAAGAAGGATGAGTTAACCGGAGAGTTCAGACGGTTACACAACGCCGAATTGCGTGAGCTGTATCCGGGTAATATAATTGAGGTAATTTCATCGCGGCGAATCAAATGGGCTTGTAAAGTTGTTGGGCTTAGTAACGAGAGAATTCCTAAAAGGTTAATATGTGCGGTGCCGAATGGTAAGCGTCCGAGGAGTAGACCGAAGCGAAGGTGGGAAGATTGCATTAAAGCCGATCTGAAGGGACTGGGTTTGGACGGCGAACGGTGGAGGGAGGTGTGTAACAAGCGATTGGTGGTGTCGGCATCGAACCTTCGGGTTCGCTAAGCCTTATTATTATTATTTAATGATTGTTAAAAAATATTAAAATTTTGAATTTTTCTTCTACTATGAACAATATAAAATTTTAAAAATCTCATATTTATAACAAAATCAATTTACTATAATAATAAAAATAACTCACCTATTCTTAAGAGGCAGTTCAGTTTCTTCTTTCAAAGTTAATTCTTCATTATTTTCTTTCGCTTCCAGAATCATATCGATTTGTGGGTTTATTTGTTGCAATAATACATCCACCTCTAGTAGAAGACTTTTGAAAGCATTAAATCGCTTCAAGACTGGGTGATTATTAGTCGATTCTCCATTTTCTTTAGAATATAGATAAAATAGAACATTTAAAGTATAGCTAAAAATAAATAAATAATTACTACTAAAAAATAAAAAGCATAAATAACATAAAAAAAAATAACAGAGATTACATACTGAAGAGTAATTTTATTAATCAGTTCAAGTAGCTCAACTGCTTTGCATTCTTTTAAAGAACCATCATCTACCATTTTGAGGATCGGCCAAACTTTTTCTTTCAGGAACACAAGTTGGGCTGGAAATGGCGGAATAATTTAAAATAATTAAAGTTAAAATAAAATAATAATACCTTTTTCTTATATAAAGTTTTGTGTAACATAAGAAGTTGTCAATAAGGTTTAACTAAACTATTATTTGAAAAATGGTACAGACCAAAAAAAATGTATATATATTCTAAAAATGTAATGAAATAATTTATTTTAAATTAAAATTTAAAACAAGACAAGAAAAATCAATACATTTTGTGTGTTGCTATATAGAATAATAAAATATTCCTACGGAGCTTCTCATTATGGTTGAATGAAAATTAATACATTCAACAAATTCTAAAAAGCTTTTCATATATATATATATATATATATATATATATATATATATAATATATATATATATAATATATATATATATATATAATATATATATTGAGTTTTATTAAAATGTTAAAAAAAAAAAATTACGAATTGCTTCACTGTTAGTCAAAGAAAAAAAAATACTAATATATAATAATGAATTAAAATAAGGGAATAAAAAAAACATACATTTACAATGCTTAATCAAAGGAAACAATTCAGGTGATTCTCTTTTCAATAGTTTCAGGGCTTCTTCGTGAGTTAAGCTACTAAGGTCGACTTCTACTTTTTCTTCTTCTTCTTCTGAATCTTCTGGTACTTCCTTTCTCCTAGCAGCTTCCTTTTTCTTATCTTCAATCTATAATAAAAATATTTCCAAATAATATGGGTACATTGATCATAGTCATTAAAATAATCAATAGATTAACACAGTAGACACATTGCGCAGCATGTCTATCATCAAACAAATTATACTAATAATTTTGAAAAGTGAATCCTGTTTCCCTGTTATAAAAGTATTCTCGAGGAAAAAATTATAAAACTAAAGCAAAATGACAGATGATTGTTCGACAGGCTCTAAGTGATCCAAATTGTTTTTAAATTAATAGAGAAAGATTGAATTAATAAATAATCCTATAACAGTTTCTAAAGGTGATCAAAAACACTAATATCTAATTTAACTACCCTATGTAATTTAGTTATTGTTTAACACTAACAAGTAAAAATTAAGTTTCCGCTTTTGTGATTCTCATTTCCATGATAGCCAAAAGTTATTTAGCATATTTTTATAACAACTTAATATGATGTTATTTATATACATATTTAAGAAAATAAAACAGAATGAATTTTGTAGCAACCTCATCAAGAAGGCCAAGAGAGAAATCAGTTCCTTCTAAATGTGATAACAGCCGCTTCTGAATGGCATTTGCTTCTTTTTCTTCTTCGATAGCTGCTTCTTCATCATCAAAACCTGCATAGTTGGAAATATAAAGATCGTTAGCAAAATCTATAAAATAAAATACAACTTTATAAGCAGTATCAAATGAAACAAACCTAAATAATCTTTATCAACATAATCAGTATCATAATACTGTTTCCTTTCTGAACCCCAAGCTTTTGAATCTGGTAAACCATCATCTTTTGGCCTATCTTCTATATCTGAATCCATATCACTGCCAATACCTTCTTCATACATTTCATCTTTCTTTTCCTTCCTCCTTTCATCTTCTCCATCATCATCATCTGCTTCTTCATCGCCATCTTCTTCTGCTTCTTCAAAATCTTCTTCATCAGAATCTTCACTTGAGGAATATATTTTCAGCACTTCTTGCTGTAAACGAAAATATTTTTATTACAAATAAAATAAAATGGTAGCAAAAATTGAAAAAATAAAATAAACATCAGTATTTATAATTATCACCTCTTCATTATTTTGGCGTCGACCAACTGCATTATTAAGTATATGTCTTTCTTCATCATCGAATCCATCATCAGAATCAGGCAGATCAAAATTTTCGACCTCTTCATCTAGATCCGCATCAAGTTTAACTTTCCTAAAACATTGCGAAGGTAAAATCAGCTATGATCATGAGTAAAATCAGCCACCAGTTGGTAAGTAATGGCAAATCCTTAAAATATTGCATCCATAAAAATATAATACTAAGTAACTTTAACAAGGTTGAAAATATGACACAAGAATAGCAATGGTCACTTCTATCTATGTTTGGATTCACTCACTATTCCATTATTGGTGAAATCATGGGATCATCTGGTGTCACAGATGATAGTGGAATGACATTTATACAGTAGTACTGAAGGTCATACTGTAAACAAATCAATCCTTGGCTATTCTCAGAATCCCATTTATACCGTGAACATAAGGTATTGGCCAATTTTCTAAGTGGAGTGACACTTGTACAATTGTACCGCCTTCCCTTAACACTCCAAAGGTCACTAGCCTTAGGAAGGTCATTAGGGATCTGTGAGATTCACTTCACTAAATCAATTTATTGATCAAAAATACCAACAGATTTCTCATTGCACTGAAAGAATGAGTTTTAAATATATTTATTGAGTAAAAAACACAGTTACATAATTTTAAAAAAATGTTAAAAATCAAAATGAACAAAACGTCAACAAAAATAGGAACTTGAAAATTAAATTCTGCATAACATTAAAACCTAACACAAAAATCACTGAATACCAGGAACAATTATATTAGGATTGAATTGGATAAAAAAAATAATTAAGACAAATATCATCACAACATGAACATCAGCCACTAAAGGCCTCTAATTTCCCATCGACAGTCACGTCTGCTCCAACTGAATAACGAGATTTGAAGTTTCTGACAAACTCTTCAAATATGTCTCAGAAATGAGTCAGTCCATTGATTTCTTAAATTGTTGATGTGCTTCTTGGTTGTCATAGCTTAGGGATCAAAGCAAAAACCGAAACTTTCATACACTTATAGTGGAACAAAATATTTAAATTACAAACTTGGCATCAATTGGGTTCCACAAATCATGGAGATTTTTTTCTCAGCTTAATGTATTCCAGCAATATATAACAGCCCAATAAAGACTTAGATTTCAATTATATCAATAGCCACTGCATCCCTTTCCCATAAAAAATTTCCACATAAACCGTCAATCCTCTAGTTTTTGCACAAATATTGGATGCAACACAGGTCATTCCAGTACTGGATTGTAAGACTCCAAGAACCAGGAGAATACGTGGAGAGAAGTTCCTCCTCTCCCAAGCGATATAAACATATCAAATAGACTGCTTGAGAGATATCTCAGATCCGGTGTAAGTAAATTCATTGACCAACCTCTGTTATTAATTTACTTACACACCGAAGAATACTCTGACATATTATTTATTGAAGAAAAAAAAATCATCATTCAGACATTTAGCTTTCCTACTCACTCTGTCATCCTATCTTATTATTAGTTACAAAAAAACTGTATTTCCTTTCAAAAGTCAATGAAAGAAATCCTAAGCTTGATCCTTCAGGAGTGTTATATCAATTGTAATTTCACTATACATAATACATCAAAATCTGGTTCTCGTTTATTGATTTTACCTACACTGTGTTGATTAAAAAAGTCAGATAAAATATAAAAGTTTTGAAATGCCGTATAATATATTTTTCCCTAAAGATTATAAGACTTCAATTACTAACTATATAATTGCTGTCAAGTAACTAACCTACATGAAGAATATCAGCCAGCTGATTAAATGTGTAATCAGTATAATAGCACATTGTTTAAACGAGTTCAGAGAAATAATACACCTAAGGTTGTCTTTGTAAGCAAATGACTATAGTATAATACAAGAAAAAGATACAAATAACTAATATTTAGATAATGAAAAGGAAAAATAATCTTTAAACTGAAGTTACTATTGACAGAGCTAGTCTTTCATTGTGAAATATAGTATTTCTAAGGACCGATAACTTATTTCGAAAAGGTAAGCACCAATAGAGAGTCACTATAGATCACGAAAATACACTTACTTTCCTCTTTTCTTCATTTTCTTTTAGGACGGTTAACACACTTCAAAACAACTTGTCAATGCACATGGCACACACTTACAACAGGAGGTTACGCCCAGGCTATATGTTTACTCAGTGTTGCCCTGGAGAAATTAAATCGATAAAGATGGCTCCTGTAGAAGTAAGTTTTTAGATATTTCTTAACTTATAAGATTATTATTGTATAATTTTGTATCTCAATTTTAATTTAGTTTCAAGCTACAGATAACGAAAATGATGGTAGGAGCACAATCGTGTTCGATCAATCGAAAAATGAAATGTTCAAACTCAATGACAACTGGAAAACTGTTCAGAGGAAACTGAGGAATCAATGGAAAATTCAAATGTAATGTATAGTCCAAATTTAGTTCAATTATTTTAATCTTCCTATATCTCTTTATTTTGGTTGAAACTAAGGGTGATTAGTTCTATCACTTTTTAGAAATAAAGATGACATAACATCTGACACATTTCAAGATGCTGCAGTATTTGTTTTACCTAGTCCCAGGGATAAATTTACAGAAACTGAATTCAACGAAATTAAGAAGTTTCTGGACTCTGGAGGAAGTTTACTTGTAACTCTTGGAGAAGGAGGGGAAAAAAAGTTTGAAACGAATATAAACTATTTGTTAGAAGAATATGGGATTATGATAAATAATGGTAAACAATATAAATGATGCTCAAATTTCAATCACTATATTACTTACTTTTTTCAATTGAGATATCATAAGAAACTTTAACTTAAGGAACTATTTTTAAATTGTTTATTTAAAAAAATCAAAATTACTTTCATCTTCTTGCTTGTTAAATTTTCACATCTGATTTCGCCTGCTTCATTTAAGTAAATAAGCAGTTATGGTATCTGATGGCAATAATAAGTACCAACCTATTCAATACAGGGTGTATGTTGTAGTCATGATCATTACTATATTAATTTTGAGACTAATACATTTTAAATTGCTATCTGTATTTAATTCTTGTTTTTAGCTTAGCTTTATTGTAATATCTCAAAAAAATTTGTTATTTAGTCACTTCTCATAAATGTATGTAATACGAAACTTTTTAATAATCCTGATAATTTATAATGAAAAATAAAATTTATTTTACTGTACATTTCAGTTATGTTCATTTTTCAGACTTTAATATAATTAAATTATTGAAGACTATTTTAATATATAAAACCATGAAGATGATTTAAATACACTCAACAATGATTAAATTATTTTTAATGTTGTCTAAAAAACATTCATTCATTATTAATGATATAATCTGTTTCTATTACTTTGGTTTTGAATGTATGAGTTTTAGAGTAAAACTCAGATAGAATTATACAAAATTTATAATTTTTATAATGACATTAATGAGAACATGGTATAAAAATATTTTAAAAAATAAGGAATTGAATATAATCCAATGCATAATACTAAAAATATTGAAGAAATTCATATCTCAAAATCAGACTGTTTGAATTCAACATTTATACTTAATATTGACATTATATTTTTCAGATTCCGTTGTGAGGACTCACTATTATAAATATTTTCATCCTAAAGAATGCCTTGTTCCAAACGGTGTTTTAAATCGTGGAATTGCAAAATTTCTTGGAAAAGACGTGAAAAACTTTAGTCAGTGAGTATTGTATAATGAATCTATATTTGTTTTTAATTTGTAGCTGGATTCTTATTAATTTTTTCCTATTTTAGGTGTATATCATTTGTGTATCCATATGGAGCAACTTTGAACACTGCGAAGCCTGCAATACCAATTCTTTCAAATGGAACAATATCATTCCCACTTAACCGTCCAGTATGTGCAATAACAATACATAATTCTGCATCAAAATCAAATCCAGGTTTATTTCTTATAACTTTAAATTAGTTTTTAAAAAATCAATATGTGGGTAATAGAGTTATCGATTTAAATGTCTGTTTAGGTGGAAAGATGGCTGTAATTGGATCTGGTCACATATTTTCTGACAGGTATCTTGAAAAAGAAGATAACTTACAAGTTTTAAATTTGTTATTGACATATCTCACTACCGACAGCCTTGAACTAAATCCAATTGATATAGAAGATCCTGAGGTATTTTTAATTCAATTAAAGTAAGATACACAATATAAATTTAAAAACCTTCTTTCGAAAAATTTAAACGCATAGTATTATTTCTATTTTCTTTAAGTGGTTTGATACATACCTAAAAGAAAAATATATACTACCCTCTTATGTATATAATATTCATATGCTTTTATATAAAATAGTTTTGAAATCTTATGGCAGTATATTTAATACTTTGTGAAAAATGGAAAAAACTATCTACTTTGATGTGGAAGCAATCAACTATATTGTCTGTTCATTTTCAATTATTCTACTTTTGTGTGACAGGAAGTGGGGTAAAGTTTGATACCTTTTTTCTAATGGAAAGCAATTTAAAGTTTCAAATTACATCATATTTATAAAGGAAGTTCATTAAAATCTAGTCTATATTGTATTGAATTAAGTTCTCATAATGGAATCCGGGATGAACTAATAACATTGAAATTAATAATAACTCAAAAAATAATTAAGATTTCAAAATATTTAATTGCTTTCTTAAAAAAAATATAATATAACACTCAGCTCTTGTGTGAAGTTGTTATATTAAGAACATAGCAGCTTTTAGGTTAAAAAATAACATTATTAGGTTTTTTCACAAACACCAGCCATATTATTAATTTGTTTCCTAATTTTACGTTTTATTTGTGAAAATGCTTAATTCAGTTATGACCACCGTTTATTTATATCTTTTAGTAGTTCTATCTAGTAGTTTTTTTTTAAAGAGAATTTTTAAATATAAAGAATTTTTCTCTCATTTGATAAGGCAGATGTTTTAACTTAGAATTTTTCCATTAATAATATAATATTTTAAGATATCTGAAAATCGTGGAGGAGGTGGTGACACAAAAAGTTTATCTGAAAAGATCCGTGGATGTCTCATGGAAACAGCTGAAGAATTACCTTTCGATTACACAGTGATATTTGATTCATCTTCATTGTACAGTGTATCTCTCAGTTCTGTTCATAAAGTTCTGGAAGCTTACAATCAGCTTGGTGTAAAGCATGAACCTCTGCGTCTTGTTCCGCCTAGTTTTGATGCTCCTCTTCCTCCTTTACAAATTGCTGTAAGTATTTTTTTTTTTTATCTGTAGACTTAATAAAACTAATTACTCATTTACTTTTAACACATTTTAGGGCGATTTTGCTTTTATTTTTTTAAATGTTAGATTACTAAGTTCAATAGTACACAATACTAGTATAACACGTAAATCTGATTTAGAGATTGAATAAAATGGTTAGGCTAGAAATTAGTAAGATTTTATTTTTAAGTTATTACACTATTTGCATTATAAAAACATACTAATATTCAGCTTAAAAGACAATTATCCAACATTTTTACATTAGGCATTGCTAAGCTACACAACTGATGAAATTACTAAATCATAAAAAATCCTAAACTACAACTTTGGAGTGATATTTGCCAAGTCAGACTTAAACCGACAATATATAAATAGCTCTTCACTAAGGTTTTCAAGAAATTACTGGGAACTTAAGCAGGAAAGAGGTAGCACCAACAATAAAACCTTACCTAGTTTTAGGAGGAAGCGAAAACTGTATACTAAATTGTAGAAATGACGTAGCCTGTATTAAATTTGATTTATTCTATTAAGCCACAAGGAAATTCAACTATTTGGACTCTTCTTGTAAGACCTAGTCAGTTTTGTTATGTTCTTCATTACAATGATGATGAACAGGATTATGCTCTGCAATATTGAATTTTTATTATATTTTAATAATATTAATTAACCAATATTTAAAATTATTTCGAAATCTTGTTATATTTTATTTTAATATTAATTATGAAATTTAATTATATTTATATTTTAGTTATTTAATCTAATATAAATCAATAATTTACCCTGAGGTCCATTACCTTCCGTTCACAGTATATATGGTTAAAATTCTAATCATATCTGTTATCCTATCTGCCAACAATATAATTACACTATTTACAATATATTTACAAATTATCCAGATTGAGTAACCTAACGATGGTTTCGCCAGGATCCTCTAGCTCGTCAATGGAAGGGACGCTAATTTAAAAAACCCTTTTTTATCCTCTGGAATAGGACAAAGACTACCGTGTCTCACTATAAGATAATGAGCGACCTGCCCTAACATGATCCAGGATCATATAACCCTCACAAAACTCATATTCTAGAATAAGTAGGATGACTGGTAGTCCATCACACTCAAAATTATACTTAGTGAGTCTATGGAACGACACTTCATATAATTCTGTTCTTTCCTTACTCCAGTCATCAAACTTTCCTAACTTATCTTTGAATCGTAGAGTTATCTTTTATGGAATTAAAAGAACTTCTGGACTAAAATAATTACCATGCTTTTCTCTGCTGGATTTTACTCCTTTGAATTCGATTTGAAATTTGAGAAGTTCTTTCTTGGTATCTATAAGACTGACTGTATGAGTTTCTACCAGAACTTCTGTTGTCACTAGTTTTTCTTCAAGGGTTTCTTTATCTTTTCTTAAGAGATTTTCTGATCCAATATCAATTGAAGAATTAATTTTGCTAATTTCTTCAGCAACAGTTTGCTTCTCATCACTTTCTGAGTGATCAAAGGTAGTTTTCTCAGCCAGTTTAGTTTGTTGAACTTCAGTTATATTTGAAATAATTTGGGTTTCTAGGTTATCACAATCTTGTTTCAAAATTTCCTCTTCATTATTAGAAATTTTATCAGCCAGTGAAGTTTTTTGGATTTCAGTTATATTTGCAATAATTTGGGTTTCTAAGTTATCACAATCTTGTTTAAAAACTTCCTGTTTATTATTAGATTCTAAAGTTTTATTTAAACTATCAAAATTTTTCTCTAAAATATGAAGCATATCCATTATTTGTTAAAACATATTATTAGTATCAGTACAATTCAAATTGTTGCTACTACTTAAATTTATTTTTTCACCCTCCACATTATTTTCACTAAACTTATGAACTACATTTAATCACGACAGACTTTCACTTCCAGTGCATCTACTGTTAGAATTTTCACATTGTCTATTTTCATCAAGTAGGCTTTGTACAACTGATTCTACCTTATTTTCTACAATAACAACATCTCCCATTAGATTTCCCAAGAAATATATTATTAAGATCTCTACTTTCCATTATCTCTCTGGTCATTCTCCATATTACTCAAAAATTATTAATAAAAATCTAGACAATTAAAACAAATTGTTTATTTGAGCTGTGATCTGATTGTCGTGACGTAATTTTTAAAGAATAAGGCCACGCATAGTTGAGCGCCGAAATGTAACATCCCTCTTATTTTTGACTAATAATAATAATATAACCTCAGAAGCTCACTTCTTACCATTGGGATACTTCCTAAATAAATAAGAGGTTGTTTGATAATAAACAAAATTATAAGAGAATTAATAAATTTATTTATTTCTGGTGTGGGTTACTGACAATCAGATCAACTCAGACAAACTATTATTATTTACACTAAAATTAAACACTTATTTTAAAATAAAGTCAAATATGGATTGGCAAGCTGACGTTTTTTCTATATACAATGTTTCTTCCTTATTTGTACTAAATTCTTTTTGTCTTCATATGCTTTCCAATGTTCTGCCAAACACAACTTCCAAAATGATAACACTATTACTGGAGTCAGCATCACTTCTCCTATCCTCTCTTCATTGCAGTCGCCCAACCACTGCTTGCCAAAACAAAAACCTTTGTCCCTCTCATCTTTGGGATTTTCCTTCTTGGGAAACTATAGAGCAATCATTTTCTTTTCCTTGCACTAATAGAACTAGATTAGCCTGCCTTTTAATTGTTCAACATTAATTTATTAAATCATTTTTACCCACTTCCAATAAAGGTGTATATTACAGTATATTCAATTGTTACAACAAATTAGTTCTGCAATATAGCCTGTCCCTACATGAACACTATGTGCTAAAATGGATTGAAAGATTGTTGGTGTTTAAAGCTAAAAATAAGAAGACACCTCTTATTACTATTCGCTATTGACATGCTATTATTGTTTTATAGACACAATTTCTAACCTAATTTTATCTAGCAAATAAAATTTCTTTTGATCCAAAGTAGGTGGATTATGGTGCCTGGGAATGTATTAGGTCCAACCTACAGCCACTTCTACAGGTCTTATCTGGTTTCGAAGGTGGAACATTGGCAATTCAGACTGCACTCAATGTACCACACTTACAACATTTTAAATATTCTTAGTAATGTTCATTCTTACTATATAACGATATTAAACATATTATTTATATTCAATTAATTGTACTAACCCTTGGAAGTGGATTATGTTCTTGCCATTTTCATTTCTTCTTGAATCACGTCTTTCCTGTTTGGATTTTTTGTCTCAATAAATCATTTGATCTGAAAACAGAATCACAATCTCTCAATTTGTTCATACCAATACAACCTTTTTCTTCAATTCGTATTGTAAGAATTAAACAGGTTTATATAAGCCATTGTTTGAAAAAGTGGTGTAAGTAATTTTTATAAAAATAAATTAATCACTATGCATTTTAATTTCATGTTTATAAATAGTTGGCTGTTGTTGAAACTTAATATTTTTAACAGAGAAAATAAGCTGTTTTTTTCTTATTAAGAAATATTCATTATTACTTTATACAATTCCTCCCGAAATGATAATAAAAAAAATAGATTAAATAAATAAATGTGCTGTAAAAAGTAATATTTTCCATGGCTTGGTTGAATAAAATTATTTAATATCAAAGTATAACATTACTCTATTCTTTGAAGAGCTTTCATTCATAAATTAGTAACTTCAAAATGACATAATAATAACATTGATACCTAGTGTTAAAAACTTAATAATTCTATATTTATATAATATATATTATAATGTGTATATCACTTATGAAGCCTGATATTACAAATAATTTTTTTATTATAATTTCTTAATTCATTTAAATATTTTTTCATTTAATCATAAACTTTAGACAATGTTTATTTTAGGTCTATCCACCGCGATTTGCTGATGTTGGAATGCCGCAACTTGAATTATTCGATCTCCAAGAAGAATTCTATTCAGAAACTGCTAGGCTTTGCCAAGCTGCAAACAAAGCACTATTGTACAGGAGTAAAGGAAGCACCCCGGTAGCTAAAGAAGCTGAAATTGAAGATGTAGAATACTTCGTTTCTGAATGTGCTTTGATTGTCGGTCTCGGAGCTGGAACAGCTCATTCTATGCTAAACAAGATTGCTATACAGTTGGCACAGTTCAAAAAAAATTTAACTGTTAAATGAAAATAGATTTTATTTTTTAAAACATAAGATATGTAATGTTAGGATATGCAGGGATTATATTTGTAGTTTTTATTTTTCATTTGCTTATAACTTTTTTTATTAGTCATTCTTCACTCATTTATTATTTTTTGTGGTTTTCTCTTAGTATTTATCTTTTGAGCACTTCTCAATGGTAAAATAAGAAAATTAAACTTTAGGTCTGAAGGATGTAATATTACTTTTTTTTTTTAAAGTTTAGAGCAGTCAGCCATGACTTTAGTCAAGTAAAAGGAACATTTCTTTGCAGGGATGCCCAGAAGGGGTTTTCATAGTGGAAGGTTTTCAAGGCGCCATCCAAATTTTTGAGAGGGGCATATTTTGACGGGTTTTCGAATTTTTGAGGGGAGCTAATTTCGACAGTGTTATGAATTTTCGGTTAGTTATTTTTTAACAAGTTTACTTCATTGATCTCAGTTTCCAGTGCCAAATTTAAAAATATTTTACATCTCTTTAATAAGCATTGCCATATTCAGATGTTAATAGGAAACCAAACCTAGCTATCCAAAAATCTAACTAAGTTTGATTTCCGTTAACTACTTACTAAAGGCTATTGTACTAATAAAAGCTGATATTTGTTTAATTACAATAGTTTTACTTGATTGAAACTGAGACAAGATTCATCGATCAGATTAATACATGAAACACATTAATATTAATGCAAATACTTAAATGGTTTTACTTTAATTAAACTCGAGCAAGTCCTCCCAAAGAGCCATCAGTTAAAAAAAAAAATATTTTAAGAAACATACTATTATCCTTTCCCCCATACAAATTATTTTTATTTCACTTATAAATATTCCCATAGAGGGGGGAAACACGGAACAGGCCGCTGCATGTATAATTGTATATGATCTAGGATTTTTCTTATTCTACCTTAGCTTGCTCTGTTTTTAAGAAAAAGTGAACAATAAAATATCTTGGGAGAAGGAAGGGGGGAGGAGGTAGGTTCTTGCATCATGGATCTTGGGGGAATGGGCATCCCTATTTGTTTGACTGGATTGGTTTATGAGTTACAAAACTGCAATTAATATGGAATGAAATGATGCAATGATATATATTCATAATATTTTCTTGGTTTTAAACACGTAAACATTATTTTTATATATATTCATAAGATTGATTGCTGAAGAGATGGAAAAATAAATGATGCTTAAATGAGTTCAAGAATGAGGATTTGTATATTTAATTTGCCACTTCAACTCGGCATAGCAGCTAGAGACGTGGGAGAGCCTTGGGACTCCAAAGATAACTCTAATTAAACAATTCATTAGTCTCTTTAATCTGATCTCAAGCCCATCAGACTGTCCACCCTATACAAGGCAGCCATAATTGAAGTGGGAGAAAGTAAGAGAGGAAACTGGGAGCTGACGGATTTTAAGTGGCATGGAATCACAGAATCTTGGAAATTGTTTGAGGGTAGCAATGGATTTTTGGTTTATTTGGGAAATATGATTATTTCAGAACATATATTGATCATACATTACCCCAAGGTTTTCAAGGGAAGTGTGGAAATGGATAAGTAGCCCATTGAGGTAGAGTACAGGATAATATGTGCATTTATCCTTTCTGCAAATGTGAACTTGTTTTTTCTGCCTGACGTTGGCTTAATTTGTGAAATGTTAGCAGGTTCTCCTTTTCAACTGCTAAACTGTATATTAGAGACTCACAGCTTTATATTTTGGATTTTTCCAATTATAATATAGCACAATTAATTTTAAACTGTAGTAATATCTGAATAAACCTTTCAAGAAAAAGTATTATTTCAACTTTTTGTACTTCGAATTTGAACTTTGAAGTTACTCTAAGTAGTAAAATATGAGGAAAATATCTTACAGTGAGTTTAAAATATTTCAATAACCTTATTTGTTTGCAATGAAAAAATATCCCAAAAGTTATAAGTTGTATTATTGGTCTTTTAAACACTCTTTTTGATATTGATATCCATGCTGCAAAAGTTTATATATACAATTTTATTATAAAACATGGTTTTGAACTTTTCTGTTTGATCTTGGTTTTGCGCATATTCAGAAAAATAAACCAAAATTTTATTTAAAATATCATATGTATGTCTTAAGCATGAAATAAAATTATACCGGAAAATCTTGATCATAAAACAAATAATAAATAAACACACAGTCTATTTTGCCCTATGAATAATTTTAGTTTTTGCACCTACATACTTTTGCAAAATGGTTGCTGATAAACTGTTTTTTTTTTTATCCAATACTTACAATGCAAATGATTAAGGTCATTTGTCAACTTTTTTTTCTATTATGAACAAAAATGTTCTAGAAATAGGAAATTTTGGAATAATATTAATAAGCATCTGTTTATTTTAATTTTTCAAAATATTGGAAACTAAAGTGTAAACAAATATTCAATAACTATTTTTATATCATATTTATTTTTTAGATAATTTAAGAATAGTACTAATACTGTAAGTGATAGGGGTAGAGGAATAAGTCCAGCAAGTGGGTCTATTGTTCCTTTTTATGAATCTCTTAGTTAGGAAGTACAATCATATTGTTTCTTTCTCTTTTGTGAATCCTTCCTTTTCTCCTAAAACTCAAAAATACATTGATTTATTAAGTTTTATTGAAGAACCGATATAAGGTACTTTGTGATATTATTTGTAAGAACTTTGTTATGCAAATGACAATAAATAAAGATTTTGCTGTTTTTAATTCTATTTCTTAGCATTTCCTTATTTCATATGTTTTTCTGAAATGTAATAAAATTATATTATATATGTGGATTAATGGTTGACTGTAGTGAATAATTGAAGAGAAGGATGGTTGGGATGAACAGTCGAAATAAAAAATAGTAAAAATAAATAATTATATTTATTTATTTTATTTTATTATTATTATTATTTTTTTTTTTTTACTAAATATAACTAAAATAAGTTTTAACAGCTGCACCTCTCAGTTTGCCCCGCTCTGTCAGATTTCCGCAGTACTTCTGATGGGATCGAAACAAATTTAAACAAAGGATTCATGGCGGAGTTGTATTGGAATGCCAGGAGCCGAATGGCCTAATAGCCAATGGCAGAGGCATTTAATAAAAAAAAAAAAAATAAATATAATTATTTTTATAATTGGTAATTGGTTGACTGTCATGGATAATGAAGAGAAGAATAGTTGAGGTCCTATGCCCTATGTAAAAAATGGCATATGTAAAAAATAAAAAATAAATATTATAATTTATTTTTTGCCTTCCTTTTTGACTGAGCACCCCAACTATTCTTCTCTTCATAATTATTTTTACTATATTTTATTTTGACTGATCACCCCAACCATCCTTCTCTTCTATTATATTATATTTTTAAATCAATAATTTATTCTTAAATAATCAAAATTATCATTTTTTGGGATATCGGCATATTATTATCATTTTTTTCTAGAAATTATTTTAACGAAACGCTGATTTTAATACCTGAGAAAGAATCCTTACTTATAACGGATGTAAGCTTATTTACAGTTAGGAACAAAACTTAACATATAGGAACAAAAACTTTACAAATGTATTAAATTTTTTATTACTTTTATTTGCAATTAACAATTTCTTCTATTATGAAAGAGCTTAAGGCTGAGGAAATGTTAGGAAGAAAAATACTCTTACAATGTTTATTTTATAGCTTGGAAACAAATAAACGCTACTTTCCCAGTATAAAAGTTAAATATAAAATTAAACAGGGATTAATGTGAAGTTAAATTAACTTTAATCAGATTTATATTATTAATAAAAATGGAAGTTAAGAGACAAACAAAAACACTTGTAAAAAAGTAATTTATTACTTTAATTTAACTTTTTTATAAACTGAATTTGAGGTAAAAATAAATTTCCCAAGTAGAGTAAGAAATCATTATTCAATTTTGCGACAATGGACTTTTCATGTCCATGAATGAAATAACCGAAAAAAAAATGTGCTTCTTGCATTCAGAGAGTATTGAAAAATTACAATTTAACTAAATCAAATGAAGTAAAGAGTAATAGATCACAAAAACTTTCATATTGCCAAAATTGGAATTCATTGAAACAAACTAGATGTAATAAAAACAAAAAATTAAGAAAATTCATAGATATAACTAGATATATTTGTCTTTCAACGTTTAAAAACATCAGTTGAAAATTAAGAAAGAGAAGATACTGGATTTTCCACCCAAAGCATACAGCTCAAGTTATAAAAGAATGGTAATGTATTTTAAACAGTCTGTAATGTATTCCGTCAATTTACATCTCACCTGTCACTTACTTTAAACCTTATTGAATATTTGTGGAGTGATATTAAGCAGAATATTTTGGTCTATTAAGTAGAACCCCAATGTGATGAAAATCAGAAATGATATTAAAACAACTGTTGGAAAAAAACTGATACCACAACAGCATTTACTATTTCTAGGATTTGTTTAAATAGTTTAGTGCTTTTAATTTTCTACTGTTGGATATTTATTTTGATCTTGATAGTAAAAGACTATTTATATTGCTATGTTATTTCAATATGCAATGTTGTTAATAAATGCTAAATAGAAATGATAAATTATAAATTTTTAAGTCATTTAAATCAATTGATTATATCTACATAAATATATTTCATCACAAAATAATGGCATACAAAAAAGAACGAAAAATTGACTTAATTTATAAGAAATACCTATTAACTTCCCATTACCAATAGACATTCTACCTATAAAACATTTGTGAATGATATAGTTTAACTTTATAAATTTTTAAGCATACTTTAAATGACTACTTTTCGCAAAGAAGACAAAAAAAAACTTAAATACAATTCTATTTAATTCTAATGGAAACATGATCTCTATCCAGACAATTTAAAAAAAAATATATGAAGAATACAAGAACTGATTTATCACCTGAGTAGCTCTTCAACCAGAACATAGTAATTCGAAACTTCAATAGAAATTGGTATTACAATCATTTTTGTAGAAATTTATGCAAAA